ACTGACCTTTACGAGACAACTGAGACGAGCTGACAGGAAGACTGGGGAAGGAAGGAAAGACGATTATTAATACACAACCATTGCCCGGGGCTGGGAAGCCATATTGTATCCCCCATATTTGTACCTCACTATATTTCTACCTGGGTCAGGGCCATTTTCTGTATCATCCCTTGGGGAACCTAAAGAAAGTTATGGTCCCCACTTTCTGAAAATTCCATGAGCAGTGTGAGGGCCATGCTGGCCTCTGTGTGGCTACCCCTGGGATGGAGCTTCCAAAGGGAGGGGGCAGCCTGGCTCAGGCAGTCACAGAGAACTTCAATTTGGAGGTGGCAGGGCTCATGTGGGGCCTTCCCAGGTAGAATGTGGGTGGGAAGGGCAAAGGCAACCTTGGAGCGCAGCGAAAGTCGAGAATTAGACCCGAGCATGCCGTGGTCCTTAATGGAAATTTTACTTTTCCAAACCACAACCTGCTGATGAACAGGCACCTGTGTCCATGGTGTGACTTGGAGGGATAGAGGGCAGGGGGGAGACCCAGCAGCAGCCTCTGCTCACACCGCCAGCCCTAAGACACATGGTTCCAGCATTGCACCCTTGGTCTGCCTGACAGTTTGGTCTGTATGGTGTGGTGTCAGACGTCAGCTTGTTAGCTCACTTGACCCTCAGTCTAAGCAATGCCGTGAGTGCCCATTTTACAGATGAAACTGAGAATCATGTTAAGTGACTTACTCGAGTCACAGCCTGTTGACGGGAGAAATGAAACCTAAACCCAGTCTTGGCCAGTGCTTCTCTCCTCTCACACCCTACATTGCTGGCTGGGAGGCATAGGACCTGTTTTCATTTTCAAATAAAAAATTACTATCTTTGTTACTTCAACTTTTAAACCTCCTTCTGATTCTTTGGCTTATGCTTCTCATACCTTCCCTTCCCAAACTGGGTGCCTGGACCTTCAGACTGGTCTTTCTGGGCTCCCACCCACCCTTGCCTGCCATCCTGGACTTCCTGAAAACATCACCTGTTCTCTTCTGATGCTCTCTGTGCATGACACATCTCAGCACATCCTTAGGAGCAGAGTTGCCTCCAAGCACTGGCAAGTTCAGGACAGGCCTGGNAAGAATTTGGTAAGCCCTGATGGACTTATTGCCAAAAACAAAAATTAACTTTCAAAAGAAATCTAAGTTATATGAAAAAAATTACATAGTCACGGTGTTGCCTAAATCCTATTTCAGCGGCACATGGTTGCCCGACACATGGTGGCAGAGCCTGAAGGGTTACTGACATGTAAATGCTGATATTTGATCTCCTGTGTGTGTTGCCTCAGCATTAAGGGCATTTTACACTTGCAGTTTTACTAAAACACTCTGAAAAATATTCCAAGCTTCATATTAATCTTATCTGTCAACGTAACGATTTTATGAACATTATTATATTGTTGAATTCCTACTGACAACATTATAACTATATGGGAGCTTAACTTTATAAGGAAATGTATTTTGACACTGATATCTTATTAAAGTATTCTGATTCTACCACTGCTGGTCGCTCTTATTTCTTGTGGATTTACCATGGGCTACACCAACGTTAAGTGAAGCATTGATAGTTTATAGGAAATGAACATTGGCACTGACCTTTACGAGACAACTGAGACGAGCTGACAGGAAGACTGGGGAAGGAAGGAAAGAC